ATGGTGACGATATGTTTCTGGTGTGTTCTACACAGATGGACTGCATTGAGAGAAAGAGGTCCAGTCACACGCAGCAAGCCGCTGCTCAGCTGCCTCAGAAAAACAATTCTTCTGCCCCCGAATTCTGTCCATCTAAAGACTGTTAGATTTTTTTTTTTCAGACACAGTCTCATTATGTAATTCAAGCTGCCTTCAACTCACTATGTCACCCATGCTGGCCTCAAACTCAAAGGGATCCTCCTGCTCTAGCCTCCTGGGTGCTGGGATTATAGGTGTGCACCACCACACCCGGCAAGCATGTTGGATTTTTTTATGCCACTTGGTTGAGTTCATTTTGCAGACTGGATTTATCTTTTGAAGCATAAAGCGTTTTGGTGAGCCTGTCGAGAGTACTGTAGACTTTACTGTAGGCTTCTACAAAATGCCTTGTGTGTTCAGCAAGGTTGCTGTACTTTGTCTCGTGGGACTTTGAGCCATCAGTGAGCTCTAAGGGTTTTTGTGCCTATAATAGCAGTAAATGTTCTTTACCCATCAGTTATTGTTCTCTCATCCTATGGTGTGTCACTGTACACCTATTCGCAGATTGATTTATTGAATTTTTGGCTGTTTTTTTTTTTTTTGGTACCAGGAATCAAACTCAGGAAGTTGCACTTCCCAGGCAGGCATTTGTGCAGCTAAGCTATATCCCTGGTCCCTGGCTGTTTTGAGACAAGGTCTCACTATGCAGTTCAAGCTGGCTTTGAGCTTACTATGTAGCACAGCTTGACCTTGAACTTGCAGTGATCCTCCTGCCTCGGCCTCCTGAGTGCTGGGCTTACAAGCATGCATCACCATGCCCAGCTTGCATTAGATTTAGTTAAAAAAAAATCAAAAGCTATGTAGATTTATACTGGCCATAATGACACATGACTGTAATCTCAGTACTTGGGAGGCTGAGGCAGGAGAATCCCTGTGAGTTCGAGGCCAGCCTGAATTGCGGAGTGAAACCCTGTCTCAAAAAGACCTTAAAAAAAAAAAAAAACCAAAAGCTTATGTAGATTTATAGTTTGTTCTATGCCTAGCTTTCTCTATTCTGATGTTCTCCCTTAGAGCTCCTCTCTGCATCGGTCACCCAGAAGTGCTACTGATAGCTCCACAACTCGAGAGACCAGTACAGTAAGAACCCAAGTTATAAGTGAGTTCCGTTCAAGGAGAACGTTCACAAGTTGGATTGGTTGGTAAGTCTGATAAAGGGTGTTCATAAACCTTTGACACAAATATGCAATGTGAAGCAAAAAAAAAAAAAACCAAACACACACACACACACAAATACAGAAAGTGCCTGACTGTACTATACTACTGTACACTATCGCACTGTACAATAAACACACAGTAGCACAACTGTGACAATGTCTGACAAAGTGAGATACTTCCGTGCTTCATTTGCATTTATGAATATTCATAATGTGAGGTTCATTTGTATCTGTGAAAGCTCGCAACTTGAATGTTCATACGCTGGGGGTTTATTGTAGCTCGTTTTTTATATCCTACCCCACCATGCTGTGGTCTTAAAGTTGCTTCCAGATGAAAAGCCGTAGGGTATATCTTGTTTGGATTCTCGGAGCAATCACACTCCTGGACTGCCTGAACTTGAGTAATCTGCAAATAATATTTTCAAATATTTTGTTTTGTTTTCTAGTATTTTACCATGCAAATATAATGCCTATATAGTTCCCATAGAAATCTCTGCTACCTGGGTGAAAGAATTCAGTGTCTCATTTTATCTATCTGTCTATCTATCTATCTATCTATCTATCTATCTATCTATCTATCATCTATCCATTTACATTTCCTGAGGTGCTGGGAATTGCATCCAGGGCTTCATGCATGCTAGGCAAGTGCTCTTCCACTTAGCTACATCCTCAGAGCTTTTTTTTTTTTTTATTTGTTATTTTGAGATGGGGTCTTGCTAAATTACCCAGTCTGGCCTTAAACTTGGGATCCTCCGGTGTTAACCTCCCAATTAATTGCCATCACAGGTATGTGCCACCATGCCTGTCTTAGAGTGTCCCATTTTACTTTAATTTTTTTTTTTTTGAGACAGAGTCTCATTGTGTAGTTCAGCATGGTCTTGAACTCTGTGTAGCCAACGCTTCCCTCAAACTGGGCGGCGGTCCTCCTGCCTCAGTCTCCTAAGTGCTGAGATTACAGATGTGTGTCACCATACCCGGGTAAAATGCCCCATTTTAATATTCATATTTTCTTTTTTCTTTAACTCTGAAGACTTTTCCCCTATTAGTCTCTGGATATTTTTCTTCTTCCACTTATTGACATTGGGGAGAAACATATGTTACCAACTTCTGTTATTACTTTCAATGTTGAGGCAGCTCAGTTGTATTTTTTTTTGTCAGTTAGTGCAATTTCATTCCTGTACCCTGTCTGTCCCTGAGAATAATCAGTTGCACATCTGAGCTTGACAATGGAGATGAATAAATTAAATCTACTTAGCTCTTTCTTTATTCTTTTTTTTTGTCTTTTTGAGACAGGGTCTCGCCATGCAGTTCAGGCTGGCCTTGAGCTCACTTTGTAGCCCAAGCTGGTCTTGAACTTGCAACAATCCTCCTGCCTCAGCCTCCTGAGTGCTAGGATTACAGGCATGTGCCACCACGCCTGGCCCTCTTTATTCTTTCTTTTGAGAAATAAAATCCTAAAAGAAGCAGGAACCAGGAAGCAGGCTAACTTCTGCCTCCCCTGCAGGAAATCTCATGAGATCGCGCCACCCAGCTCTCATCTTCAAGAACGCACTTGTGAGTGCTGCCTGTGCCTAGATAAATGAGTACACTCAGTTCTTATTTCATTTAGCAGATGAATGTGGCTCCCACTTGAAAGTAAGTACTCTAGCTTTGCCTTTATCAACCATAAGGGTGATTTTTGGTTGCCTATCTACTTTTTTCTCTGGTCTTTTTGAGATAGGATCTCGCTATGCAATTCAGGATGGTCTTGCACCCACTTTGCAGCCCAGGCTGTCCTCAAACTTGCAATGATCCTCCTGCTTCAGCCTCCGGAGTGCTGGGATTACAGGCGTGCGCCACCACACCTGGCTTGGTTGCCGATCTACTTGTGACATCTTTTTCACTTTTAAAACAATCCCAGTGAGGATGAGAGGTGCTATTTATTGAGGTTCTTTGAAAGTCCCAGCATCTGGGTGTATGGGTGCAAGGGTCAGAAGCCCTGAGAAATAGGGAGTAGATTTGCAGTTAACAGTAACAAATGCAGAATATTTGGGTATGGTTTTGGACATTTGGTTGCAATGTGTGAACAGACTGTTTGGGATTTCGTAGAAGGGTAAATTGCACTAACTTTCCACTGCCACTGCTTTTAAGTATGTGGTATTTAGCCAGGCGTGGTGGCGCATGCCTGTAATCCCAGCACTAGGGAGGCTGAGGCAGGAGAATCGTTGAGAGTTTGAGACCAGCCTGGGCCACAAAGGGAGCTCAAGGCCTGCCTGAACTGCATAGTGAGACCCTGTCTCAAAAAAAAAAAAAAAAAGACAAATAAAAAAAGTATATGGTATTTGACTTTGTTCTATGCCTGAGGCCTGATGCACAGCTGAATGACAATTTCTATAGATATAAGGAATATTTCAGGATTTTAAAAAATCTTGTCCATGGATTGTTTACGTCTTATCAAGAGAATACAGAGATGTTTTAAAATACTATATGTGGTGGATTGACAACTGGTAGTCAACTTGTAACACCCCGCTGAACTGAACCAGCGTGGTAGTGGGTGTGGGAGGCCCACCTGAAGATTATTGCTGGAAGCATAAGAGGCAGAACTGGAGAGGAAGAATTTCAGAGGCTTTAGGGAGCTGTTGGTTCTCCTGGAGGAGCTTGTCACGTTGGCTTTCCTGATGAACTTGGCTGTTCTTATCCTTGAAGGAGTTCAGGACCTTACTGTTGCTGAGAATGGCTGTGGTTCGCTTTGGGGGAGCTCTGGTCCTCCCTCTGGGCATCACTTCCTGGCTTTGGAGGGGAAGATGGTGCACTGCTCAGTCTCCTGGAGAAGCTTGTTGCATTAGCTTTTGTGATGGGAACTCAGCTGTTCTCATTGTCAGAGGAGCTTGGGACCTCACTGTTGCCAAGGATGGCTGTGGTACTTTTTGGGGGAACTCTGGTTCTTACTTTGAGCATTGCTTCCTGGCTCCAGTGCAGATACCTCAGCCTGATAGCACAGATCCTTCAACCAACTAGCACAGACTTTCTATCTTCCATCAATGATCTTTGGATCTTCCCAGCACAGAACCATGAAACAGGCCTGCATGAGACATTGTTGTGGGCTCTTGGCCTCCAGTTGGACACATGGGGGGCATTGTCATGGGCTTTAGTCTTCAGGTGGACTCATGAAGGACATTGCCATGGGATCCAGGTCTTCAGCTGGATTCTTTGGCCTTTGGTGTGTGGACATATTTCCTGCACTCTTTTTGTATATGATTCTTTGGGTGACTATTATAAAATAACCTTATAAAATAAGTGTCCTGTATTGTATTATATTGTTCCCCTTGCAAAACCCCAAACCATGACACCAGATATTTGCAGGGCTCCAAAATCTTTAATAAGAGCTTGTGTGGGTGAAAATTCTTTAGTAGGAGCACACAGAGGCAAAGAGGATCTTGATAAAATTGCATCAATTCTAGCACTTAGGCTGTGAACTGTCATCATTAGACAATGATCATGCAGGTGACCAGTACAACACCTTGAAGGAGTTCAGGACCTTACTGTTGCTGAGAATGGCTGTGGTTCACTTTGGGGGAGCTCTGGTCCTCCCTCTGGGCATCACTTCCTGGCTTTGGAGGAGAAGATGGTGCACTGCTCAGTCTCGTGGAGAGTGAAAGGATTATAAGGACTGTCCTAGAATTCAGGCCAGCATAGTTTTTATGAGAGCTTAACTCTTCCTAAGCACATTAGCAGAACTGTGATACCTAATTCCAAGAATCATTCCTATTGCTTCTTAGGTCTGTGCACTTTGACAGTGCTATGCTTCATTGTGAATGTGTCCACCAGGATTTCTTTGGCCAGTGGAAGAACCAGACCACAGAAAATTAGGTAGGCATCTGGAAGGTGCTGCTACGCTAAAGCCAGCCCAGGCCAGTGAATAAGGAATACGATACAGGTAGAGGTTTGAAAAAATACTTGAGTTATTCTATTTTTCTTCAGGAACTCATATATCACCATGAAAATGAGCATGTGTAGTTTACTGAAGGATGAGACCCTGGGAGCAGAAACATTCTTCTAGTGTTACCAGCTTAGGTCACCTAACCCCTATTCTTTCTTTTGTCTTTTTTTTTTTTTTTTTTTTTTTTTGTAGTACTGGGGTTTGAATACAGGTCTTTGCACTAAGCTACATCCCCAGTTGATTTTGAATATTTTATTTTGAGACAAGGTCTAGCTAAATTTCTAAATTGCCCAGGCTGAGCTCAAACTGGTGACAGGTGTGTACCAACACACCAACTATCGTGCCCATAGTCTTAAGCTAACTACAAACACCTGCAGGAACCCAAAGACGCATGACTAAATCAAGCCCAGACCAACAGAACAGTCCAGCTCCTATGTAGACTCATAAGAAACCATAATAGTTTCTGCCTTAACCCTTGAAGTTTTGGGATAATTAGTTACATGGCAGTAACTAAGTGCTACATGCATCCAAGTTTAAAACTGGAGAAAAGAGGCCTGAAGAGGTCCGTTTCATTTTTGACCACCCATCTTCCTCTAAAACTGGTTCAAGTAAACATAAAACACTTGAGATTTTGGCCTTATATTCTAGTTTCAGATCCAAGTTTGTCAATGTCAGACACAAATTCAGTGGAATCTTTCTGAGAGGAAGAGAAGGAACACACATATTTGACAAAAAACATGTTAAAAAAAGAAAAAGATATTACAGAAATGATTTTCAGAGTTTAGAATATTCATGGTACTCCTCTTTGCTAGGCTCTCAGGAGTTCAGTCTTATGAAACATTACCCGCTACTTCAAGTAAGAAATCTTCAGGATAGTTTTTCTACTTAAATCTGGAAGCAAATGAAAACTTACTTAGAAGTTTAAAAAAAGTCTAAACCATTCAGTAGCAAAAAAAAAAAAAAATGGTGGGCTGGGGATACTGCTTAGTGGCACAGGCCCTGCCTGGCAGGCACAAGGTCCTGAGCTTGATTCCCAGTACAAAAAAAAAAAAACCATCCAAGCTGGGCGTGGTGGTGCACTCCTGTAATCCCAGCACTTGGGAGGCTGAGGCAGGAAGATCCCTGTGATTTCGAGGCCAGCCTGGGCTACAAAGTAAGTTCAAGGTCAGCCTGAACTACATAATAAGGCCCTGTCTCAAAAAGACAAAAAACAAAACAAAACAAAACAAAAAAAACCAAACCAAAACAAAAAAAACCCAACAACATTCATTGAAGTATTGGCCTGAACACACCTGTTCATAAGAATTTATAGTATTGTCAGATCAGCTAGAACCCATATGAAACTTAGCACTGAGGGGAATAAAAATGAAAGCTTTAAGTGTATTTGAAAGGAAAAAACAGCACCTATCTAATAGCAGGAGACCAGCATTTCCTCACTCAAATTTCTATGTTTGCAAGAAGCAGCATACATATTAGAATGCACTGGTCATGCTGCAGTGACAACCCCTAAACCCCAGTAGTGCTTAATACAGACAACTTTAGTTCTTTCATGTGCAACAAGCCCTCGATGGTCTGCAGGGCTTTTATTCACAGTCGTTTTTCAAGGACATAAGCTGACAGATGCTCCATCTCAGCACTTGGTTCCATAATCACCAGGGCAAAAACACAGAAGTATAAAAGAAGGAATGTGGAGAACTGCGTCCTGGCTCTTAAAACTACCATATGGAAGAAACATATGGCACACTTCCACTTGCGTTTTCCTGGCCTCAGAAAGTTACATGAAAGAGAAATACAATCCTTCTGTTTTCCTGGAAGGAGAGGAAATAGGGTATACCGTAGTATCTTCCATGCTTGCTCTGTGGAACAAAATATTTGATTCTGCCTCTTTTTTATGTATGAAATGCACCTACTCGACTCCAAAGGAAACAGTCAAAGAGCCACACAAATTAATAAGAGCAAGACAAAGTTCAAGATATCTGGAGAGGTGCAGTAGTCTCTATAGCAGGTCTAGGCGTTGTGCTTTTTGGTCAGAAATTCTAAAACTGAAATTATAAATTTTTTGTATTTTACCCATCCAATATACAATGATGGTTTTAAGATGGGGTAATTGCAGTACAGTGTCCCATTTGAAAACAAGAAAATGGGAAATGCATAACATAGTAACTGCAAAGGGACTTGGTAGCAGTTGAAGTTTGAAGATTCTACAATACATTTTGAGAGCTCTTCCAAACTGAGAGTGAGTTCAGGGTTTCCTCTTACAATGCATGTTCAATTAATATAATTCATAGCCTCTATCCACTTCTTCCTTCTACTAAAAGGAAGATAGAATGACTTATCAATGATCATTTTGGAAAAATAAATTGGGAACATTTAGGTCAGTCCTGTCCATTTTGTGCAAAGGGGTTGGCAGCCTTCAAAGAGCAGAAATTCACGTTGGTTTCATCATGGTCCACTCATTATCCTATTCTCCCATTTCTCGAGTGAATGGCCCAGTCTGATTCAGCATTGCCTAAATAGGCAGGGCAAGCATGCCCAGTAAAATGGCTCAGACACATGCCGACCAACTAAGCATCCTCAGCCTTTATCAATAATCATGATACTTTGATTTTTAATCATTGACCCAGTTTATTTCTCATTTTTAAAAAGATGGTAATGATTAAACATGTTTCTTAAAGAGAATTCAACAGCTGAATTTTTATTTCAGACATTCCAGGGCCAGGGATACAGCTCAATGGCATAAGCACCTGCCTGGCAAGTACAAGGTCCTGAGTTCAATTCCCAGTACCAACAAAACAAAACAAAAAACAAAACAACAAAACAAAACAAAAAAAACCCCACAGACATTTCATTTAGCCTTACACTGGAATATCTTTATAATCAGTATTTACACTCCTTTTCCTATTTTGATCTTCGTTCTTTACTATACTCAAGAATGATTTTAAAGACATCTTTTAACACTGGAAATTATGTTTTTAGTGTGCCTATTGTTTCTTATATTTTAATCTATAATAGTGTTATTTTAGTACTAAATTAATTTTTTCAGACTCCTGTTTTACATCATGGTTTTTGCTCATGGTTTTGGACATTTCAGTCCACGGTTGGATCCAAGGCAAAAAGAAAGCATGGCAGAAGGGCATGGGAGAGGAAAACTGTTCTACTCATGATCGGTAGGAAGAGAGAGAGCAGAAAGGAGCAGAGGAGAAGAATATTCTCCTGGGAAAAGCCTCACTTCCTAAGAGCACATTCTACTATGAACTCATAAGTGGATTAATCCACGTAAGATTATAGCACTCTGATGATCCAGTTACCTTCCAAAAGCCCCACCTCTGAACACATGAGACTTTTTTGGGGACATTTTAGATATAAACCATAACAGTTTCTTGTGTCCACTTCTTTCCACAAGTTACAGAAACCAGCTATCACCAGTAGGCATCTGGCTTTCTACTCTGTGTTACAAAAGTCATAAAATAATATTTTGAAAAACTTTAAGGCAAAGGAAAATAATCACCAATAATCCTATTACTTTAATGTAGTTATTAGAATATTTTACTAAATGTTTCTCTAGACTTTTATGGTGTTGGGGATCAATTCTCCATATAAATAAAACATTTTATTTTGATTCTTTGTCTTCATTTCCTAAGACTCTCATGTTACATAAAGCATATATTAAATAAATTTATATGCTTGTCTCTTGTTACTCTGTCTTTTGTTATAGAGGTTTCAGCCATAAAACTTGGGACAGGTGATGAAAATATATTTCATTTTTATGTGAAAAGATATTTTTCTCCCCGGTATTTGCGAGCATCTGACATAAGGTGACTGAGCCTCCCCATTTGCTCTGAAAGCTGCGGATGATATCCTAGAACAACTGACAAAGTGCTGGCAGGAAGGTAAGAATTCTTCCCGAAGTCAGCCCTCCCAGAGCTCTGAAATGCTTAGTGCAGAGTAGAAAGTGGAAATTTCTCCTTGTTCCCCTACCTCCCCAGGTACTGAACCTAGGGCTTTGCACTCAGCTACATTACCAGCCTACTTACCTATTTATCATCTATCTATCTATCTATTTTGAGAGAGTCTTGCTAAGTTACAAGTCCAGGTTGGACTTGAACCTGAAATTCTCTTGCCTCAGTCTCCCAGAGGGATTACAGATATGTCGTACTGTGCCCACCTCCCTTGTTTCTTCTTTTCCAATTTCCTTTCCTCTAATTTCCAAACTCAAATTAGTAGAAGAAAGGCATACTTTTTTATTGTGATTTTTTTGTTCTGTTTATATTTATCTTGCTAATCTATCTTTTGTTATTGGAGTCTTAGTATAAACTTTGTGGTAGGTCAGGAATAGATATTTTTTTTTCTCCACTAGAATGCAAATACAGGCACTATTTCTCCTGTTTTATTTTTCATAGAAAATAAATTCCACATGGTTTGGTATGTACTGGAAAATTGCTTTCTAAAAGATTGTAAATTAGGTTGACAACAACATTGTGTGTATATATTTTGTTGCTACCGTCTAGTTTTAAGGGAAATATTGTCTAGTTTTAAGGGAAATAATTAGTAATTATATGAAAATTATTTTAAAATTAATTTTTTTTAAGCAGTGTTAGGTGCATGCTAGGCAAGTGCTCTATCACTGAGTTGGGCCTCCAGCTTTGGTGATAAGATTTATTAGTCATAAAATGTGCCATTGTCTTTAAATGACGGCATACTTCTTGTTAGTAGTAAGGTTAAGCCTTTAATATTTCATTTGTTTAGTGTGTTTTCTTTTATATTAATTGCTTACTCATATTTTTATTCCTTTAACTATCTACATTATTATTATTATTATTTTTGTCTTTTTGAGACTGGGTCTTGCTCTGCAGTTTAGGCTGGCCTTGCGCTCACTTTGTAGCCCAGGCTGGTCTCAAACTTGCAACCATCCTCCTGCTTCAGCCTCCCAAGTGCTGGGATTACAGGCGTGCGCCGCCAGGCCTGGCTGCCTTATTATTTTAATTATTGGGTTTTGTTTCCTAAAAAACTTTTTTTCCAATTCAATCTACTGTCTCTTTTCATTTTTCTTTCTTTCTTTCTTTCTTTCTTTCTTTCTTTCTTTCTTTCTTTCTTTCTTTCTTTTTCTTTCTTTCACTTCCTTCCTTGCTCCGTTCTTCCCCCTCTCCCTTCCTTCCTTCCTTTCTTCTTTCCTTCCTTCTTTCTTTCTTTTTTTCTTGTCTTTCTTTCTAATGTGGAAGATTGAGCCCAGTGCCTTCACAATGACTTTCTTTTCCAACCTTTTTTAAACTTTCTAATTTGAGACAGCGTCTCTCTACATTGCTAAATTGCCCCGGTTGGGCTTCAACTTGCTATTCTCCCATCTTAGCCTCCCAGAAAGAACTATGAAAGGTAGATGGAAAAATGTTTGTCCTTCTTAACACTTGTATCTCAAAGTGTGCTGGGGCAACAGATAAGATACCTTCCTCTTCGGAGACCTGTGCTGGAGCTCAGAAAACGTACCCTAAATATCGCACTTTGGCAGGCTGAATGCTCTGAACTGAAATCGAAGGGCCTCAGACAACCTCAGAACAAAAGTGTCTCTGACCTTCTCTGAAGACTAGGGCAAGGGGTTGAAGTGGGGAATATTATTCTGAAACTTCCCTATCTGACTAAGATAAATTCTTGTGGAAGGAATGTAATTATATAGAGCCACTTCCTTATAATCTTGGCAAACATACCGCATAGTCTTCTGGGGAGAGCTACCCGAGAGAGTTTATCTGATAAGAAGACAACCTTTGTTCATTGTCCCTTTTGTCCCCTCCCTTCTCATAGCCTGTGTGGCCACCTCCCCATTAGGAGAGTCGGTTTCTTTGTACAGTTTAGATTGCTTTCAAACTTCAACAATTTGGCCCTTTGACTCATAATTAGTGTGACTCCCATGTACATATACACACAATAAATTTGTGTTTACTTTTATCCTGTTAATTCACCAGTTTATTTCATAGTCAAATATGGAACATTCAGATAGTAAAAGAAAAACTCCTTCCATGCCTACATCTCCATGATGTAAGAAGCACCCGTTTTTTTCTCTATTACAATCAGAAAAACTGAGCATGGAAAAATGAACATAAAATCTTTATTCTCAGCAGAAAAGTAATTTATTTTTATAGAACAAATACTTACATAGAGATTATCGCTTGCCAGATATACTACAGTCCTATAAATTGAGCATTGTTTTTATCCTAATTTTAAGATGAGGCCGGGTGTGGTGGTTCATGCCTATAATCCCAGCACTAGGAGGCTGAAGCAGGAAAATTGCTGTGAGTTTGAGGCCAGCTTAGGTTACAAAGTGAGCTCAAGTCCAGCCTGAACTGCATAGCGAGACCCTGTCTCAAATAAAAGAACAATTTTAAGATGAGGAAGCTGACATTCAGAGAAATTCAGGAACTATTCCAGTTCACATGGATTGGCTCCCAAGTCTGTATTGTTCATGATTCAGTACCCAAGAACTGGAAACAAAATCCTTTGGCTTGTGGGATTAATCCTTTTTGCAGTAAACTGGTGAGTGCACATTTAGTTATTTACTGAGTAAACAAAGCTATATATTTACACTCCTAGCAATATACTCTTAGGAAGGAAAGATTGCTTTCTTCTATTCTTCTAGATATTTTGGCTAGTCTGTGAATTAAATGGGCAGAAGACAGTCACAGGAGAAAAATATTTTAATTATATATGTATGCATGAGCGTTCCACAGAAAAATTGGAATCAGAAGACCAGCTAGATGATTGAGACTTTTATGTCATCCTGAGCTACAGAAAGGAAAAGGGATTCAAATTCAAGGACTCAGTCAAAAAATGGGCATCTGAGATAAATTACACTTCTCAGATGAAAAATTACAAACATCAAATAAATATATGAAAAAAATGTTCAACATCATTGGTCATTCAAGAAATGCAAATTAAAACAACACTAAAATACCATCTTGCCCCAGAAAGAATGGCTATCATCAAGAAATCAACCAATAACAAATGCTGGAGGGGCGGTGGGGGAAAAGGAACCCTTCTCCACTGCTGGTGGGAGTGTAGATTGGTGCAACCACTGTGGAAATCAGTGTGGAGATTCTTTAAATATTAGAATTAGAGGTCCCATTTGACCTAGCTATTCCCTTCCTGGGTATCTTCCAAGAAGAATTAAAAACACCATACTAGAGCGACATATGTGCCCTCATGTTCATAGCAGCACAATTTGTAGTAGTTAAATCTTGGAAACAACCCAAATGAGGATCGACTGAGGAATGGATAAAAAAGATGTGGTCTTTTTATATAATGGACTACTGCTCAGCCATAAAGAAGGATCAACTTGAGACTTTTACAGGTAAATGGATGCAACTAGAAACCATACTCATAAGTTAAATTTTTTTGTTGGTGTTGATGCAAGTGACTCCATTCTGATTCTGATGACTTTCAGAGTTTTATCAACTGCAGGCCTTGTACTTAATCTGCATATGGCTTTACAAGTGACTATACCAGGAAAGAAAAACAATAGATGTAAATTTGCCTCTATTAAAAGCTGAATGACTGGTATAGGAAGGCATAAAGTAGTAAAATTTTGCATTAGAAGCCATATTTTTAAAATAATACATGTATTAAAGGAGAATTTATTATTTGGCTGTTTCAAAGACAAAAAGGAAACTAAACACCAGTATAGTCTGGATTATGCATTCTCTGAGAGGAAGTTTAAAAGGACTGTGTCAAACCTTTTCTGATCAGTGGGCTATCAGATCACAGTGATATAAGAATAAGGATAAGCTCTCCTTAGTAAAGAGAAATAAGAAGAATGTCTTAACCTTGCCTTATTTAATAGACTACGAAATAAGGTGCAGGCAATCACTATTATGATATCCCCATGTTTACTTTAAATTGCACGTTCTTGCTGCAAATAGAAATTACCTTGCCTATTGGTAAAAGGAGCCATGAGTGTAGGAAAATTGTCCCCTATTTCTATTCATTGGTTCTGTCACTGCCCTCCTACAAATCTTAAAGAATTTAGTTAAAATTTTTCATCATTTCATGTGTTTTAGATATACCTAATTTGCGTATTTTTCTGATTTAAAAAGTTAGAGAAAATTAGTTAAAATGTCATTGTTTGTGAGGTATTAATATTATTATTAGTATATCCTCTTCTCATAGTAAAATATTCACTTCTCTGTATAATAAAACTCAAGCATTTCTTTAACCAGGACTTTGAGCTGCTTGCTTATGAGAACTGCAACATATGGTTTTTCTCTTCCACTTTTTAATATTTTGGTCTCCGGTGAATCCACATACAAAAGCTTCCTTCCTTTAGATGGAGTCCACAAATGAAAGGCTTTTCTTTTTCTGATTGCAGATTAGCCTGCCAAAAAACAAACACGAACTGGAGAACATCGTTTTAATTTATTGATGGGATACAGATGACAAGGAAGTCTGTCCTCTTCTAGGCTTTTGGGAACGCTTCAGCCTGACCTAGCACAGCTGAGTTCATACAGCAAAGACAGACTTTGCCAAAAACCAAAGCCCATAGTCATTGCAAATCTCTGAAGCAAAACATTCCTTCAGTGCTTGAATTTCCCTATAATTTGTGTAGATTCCCTTTTTGTCAATGAAGCTAGCAGTGGATAACTAGCTTAGTGCAATCAGACAAAACAACTGTACCATTCATTCCGTAATTAGATGATAGCCTTACTGCATGCTTTATGGTTTCCGTTCTTCATTCTTTCCTTTCTTTTCAAGTCCTCAGAGACAAACTCGGGGATGTTTGGCAAAGCAGAGGCCCTTGTTGAAAAATATCCTGTTCTTTTTACTTTAGGATTGCTAATAAGTTCTATTCTCAGAGGCAAAACTTTAGATGCACACAGCAGGGGAGGATCAGCCAAGTTTAAAAAAAAGA